CAATGTCAAAATCGATATATATATATTTTTTAACTTTATTTTTTACAGGTATACAACAAAAACATGACAATGAATAATGTTCTTTAGTGAGTTCTTTAGCATTTGTCACACAAAAAAAAAAAGCATTAGACAAACAATAAATAATATTATATAAAAATAATTTGTTCATTTACACTTTGAACATACTGAAAGTAAAAAAAAAAAATAGTTTCAGCCAGTCAATTAGAAGTGTCCACACCTTTATTCATAACAAATGGGGTAAAGAAGAACAAAAAAAGAGGGGGAGATAGGGGTTCTTTATGGCTTCAGTTGTTCTAAAATGGGTTTCCAAATTTTGTAATATTTTTGAGGAAAGTTTATTAAATCAAATCTAATTTTTTCTATGTGCAAGATTTCTGTAAATTCCTTGATCCAAGATTCAAAATGAGGTGGTCTGTCAGCCTTCCACTGCTTCAATATGCATCTTTTGGCAATCATCATGCCATATGAGACCACTGTTGTTACATCACGACCCAAATTTTTGTCCGAGACGCCAAAAAGGGCCGTTTCTGGATCAGGTTTTATGTTAACTTGGGCGCGAGAGTACCATTCAAATATTGAAGTCCAGAAACTTTAAAATATTTGGACAAAGCCAGAATTGATGTGCTAATGTCCAATATTTTACATCTGTCACAGAGAGGCCATGTTTGTGGGACAATTTAGTTTAACCTTGTTTTTGAGTAATGTAACCTATGAACTACTTTATATTTTATTACTTGCAATCTTGAGTTCACTGAGCAATAATGTATGTCACTCAGTGCTCTGCTCCATACATCGTCTTTGATTGTAATATTGAGATCCTCCTCCCACTTTTGCTTTATATTTAATGTTGAACATTCAGACTTACTTAAAAAATAGCGAACCAATGATGAAATTAAACCCTTGGACTCTGGTGGGCCGAGTATGATATATCAAAATCCATATATCACGCATCCCTAGAATTAACAATTTCAATTCCATCCATCCATCTATAAAAATATGGATATGCTGCGTTTTAAATATGGCATAGCATTTTGTTTTTCTTGTAAACTTTCAGGTAAACTTGGAGATATATTTTATTGCATGTTGCATATCCCAGTAAATCTGTTTCACCTTTAAATGTGAAGCTCTCCCTGCTTCTCTCTCTGCTCTGATTTAAAAGATTAATGAACCTATTTACTAATATAATGACGCCAGAAACAACATTTGAAGGCATGTAGAAGCTCTGCAGTCTGATTCCGTCTGTTCAATGAGAAAACATGTTAATTTTAAGGTGTAACTGGGAGTTATGGTCCTCTGAAAAGCCCAGATTTTTTTAACTAGTAAAGAAGAAAACAACATTTAATGTTTTCTCAAGAAAACATTATATTACTAACTTGTATAAACTTACAATCTGTTGCCATTTTTTGCTGAAAAGGCTCCAGATGTCTAATGAACAGATTTTTCGATGGCATCCCTAAATAAAAAAAACAGTTTCCTAACTTTTACTTGAAATGCGACCGCGAATCTGTCATGATTTTATCAAGAGCTCGGACCCACATGCCAATAAACCAGTCCAGAGAGACGAGGGAAAAAGTTTAACAGGTTTATTGAGAAGTTTGGTGGAGATTCCAGTGCTGCTCTGAACACTGCTCAACCGGAACTGAAAGGTGAGGGGAAGACACTGCGGTTAGTTCAGGTTCAGTGGGAGAATTCATTCTCGAACTTGAAGAGGAGAAAAGGTTGGCAGACTCACATTTCCAGAGATTAGGTTAACTCTTAGACTCCAGTAGGTGAGGAATGTGTTCCGGTGTTTGTCTCATACAGTGGAGGGCGGACAGGGTTACCCAGAATGCGGTTTCTTGTAGATGAACGGAGAAAGACTGACTGCCACTCAGATTTCCTGCGGTACTTGAACGGACTGTGGTGCAGATGAATCCCTTGCTCAGTGTGAAGCTCAAACGTTTCCTCGGGAAAAGTGGATCCAAACCTCCGGTTTGATTCCTCAGCTCAGTTTGAAGCTCGGTTGATCCTTCCAGGGAGAGAAGGTCAGAAAAATCCAGTTTGCAGGATGACTTCCTGCCGAGAGGCAAAGACAAAAAAAACAACGTTAAGACTTAGGTTGACAAAAACTCAGTTTGACTCAGCAAAACTCAGTTTGACTAGAGTACCCTAAACTGGCAAACACTCTGGCGTCGAAGTAGTGACAGTCAGCAGCTTAAGAACACTCCGTTAGCGAGGTAACCCCTTGCAGGTGTGTGAGGAGGAGAATCAGAACCAGGCGCCACCTGGTGGAGGAAGGAAGACAAACACACCACACAGACTGGAGTTCAACAAAATCAGATGTCT